CATATATATATATATATATATATATATATATATATATAGGTTATGTTCAAATTCTCATCGAATACGGCCTTGAACTCAAATGTACTGACGTGTGTGTGTGTGTGTATGTATTTAACACAGCCCTCAGTTGGAAAAAGCATTTCAAATATAAAGACGTCCACAGATCAAATACTGCTGGGTCACATCCTGGCCTTAATAAGACAAACTCTGCATTCACATTTGTTTTGGCCACCAGCTAAAAGTCGCTGCGAACCGTATCTATTGATACATCCATTCTACTGACCGTCAATACATAAACACTCACAAAAGCAAACATATACACACTGGAGAGCTGCTATCCCTTTAATATACAGTATAAACTTAACCCTCTCTAATGAAAATAAAACCAATGGTTTGATCTGTGGCTCTAAAAAAGTTTGAAATCATAAAATATAAAACAAGATCTTGCTACTATCACAAGCAACTAGGTTTGAGTTTTGTGTAAAGTGCTTGTTAAAAAAAACTTTAGTTAAAAAAAGTAGTTTCTGTTTTTTAATGTATTTTTAATGTAATTTTTTTAGGCTTTGTCTTTTATTTGCCTCTCACTGGTGTCCTCAAAAAAGTGCTTTGTGTGGAACAGTTACTTTAATCATGGCTTGGCCAAGTAAACTCAATTCTTCTTCATTATCCCACAGGAAAAAAAAAAAGCTAAACCCAAATAAGATAGATTGAGTAAATCATCTAATATTGTAATTTGGAAAAAAAAAAATCCTTTGTAAAGCCACAAAGGCAGAACATGAACATATGCAGGTCACAGGTCACCGTGGCTCCGGGCACAAATCCTGCGCTCTGTCCTTGGATACGTGCGTGTACCTGTACAGGAGGGAGTGTGAAGGTAGTGGTGGTCAGATTTTTAGGAGAAACAGGAGGGGGCTACACCAGGTTCTCCACTCCGGGCAGAGGCTGCTGCGATGGGGGCACAGATTCGGACATGCTCTGCTGCTGCGCCAGCTGCAAGACGGGCATGTTGCACAGCGGGCAAACCTTCCTCACCTCCAGCCATTTAATAAGGCACCTGAGACAGATACAAAGAGGGTTTAGAAGATGAAAGGCCAACTTGATAATAATCTGCCAAAAATTGCCCAGATCACAGTAGAGTATCCCACTACAAAGAGACTCCGCTAACCCAAACTACCAATAATGCTCCTGATAGCTAGTCTAAAGTGATCTCATGTGATGTCTCGGGGCTGGTTGTGTGTCTTCTCCTTGCAGGAAGCCCATGTGGAACGTGAGACTGAATCTCGGGTTAGTCTGAGTGAGATGTTGCTATTTCTGCACTGATGAATTATTCACTGTAAGCACCGTTCTATTTTAGGCCGTGTTGGTCCCATCAGGAACACAAACAGATCTATGATACAGAAGTCCCTATTTAACCACTTGCACAGTTGGGATGTAGGAGCAATGAGGGTTCTTTTTAGGAATTTTATCATTTTTTAATTATTTATATTTATAGTTTTAATATTTTTATTTCACAATTTAATCATACTCATAAAAAAAAACTCTTAAACTTCCCTGTATTTCAATAACAACTCATTATAATCAATATGCATCCAAACAACAACAACAATAATAGTATTAATAACAATAATGTTTTATCCATTTCATAATTTTTATAATTATTTTATAATTTCAATCATTATTTATATTTACAGTTTTAATAATATTTTTATTTCACAATTGACTCATGCTAATTGAGAAAAACCTCTCTGTATTTCAATAACAGTCCATTAATCAATATTCATCCAAACAACAATCATATTTGATTCATTTAATCATTTTTTTATAATTATTTTATAATTTAAATACTTATTTATGTTTACAGTTTTAATAACATTTTTATTTCACAATTGATAATTGAGAAAAACCTCTCTGTATAAGCCCATTATAATCAATATGCATCCAAACAACAACAACAACAACAACAATAATAATAATAATAATTTATCCAATTAGTCATTTTAATGATTATTTTATAATTTTAATAATCATTTATATTCACAGTTTTAATATTTTTATTTCACTGACAGGTTTTCTGTCCTTTATTAATGGTTCAAATCTATTTCATTTAAGTATCATTTTAAATCCTCTAAAGGATCATGTGATGAAAGTGACAGAGGAATTTTAGGGGGATTTTCATGGGCATGTCCTGCAGCTCATATATCATAGAGCGTGACATGCAAATGATATGTATCGAGTGATTTAGTGTCACATTATATTATATTTTCATGTAGTTTATTTGGGGCCTAATTTTATAGCACACATTATGGCCATACTGCATTGATTCTAAAATAACAAAAAAAAAAAAAAATAAAAAAATACTATCATATTACCAGTTTACCATTTAATATATGACTTCACTTCAGTGACCCATTTAAGCTATAAAGATTGGCTGGATTCAAATAGAAGCAAACTACAATGTTGAAATGTTTAAATGTTCCCCACCCCTCTGATAAGTGTCCAAGCATTGCTCTGACATTTACTTTGGCATTTACTCTGACATACAGCCCAGTGCAAATGTTTAAAAAAAAAAAGTGGTGAAGAAGATGGGTGAGTCAGACACATTTCAACTAGATCAATGGCAGAAGAACCCATGCTACACTGCAAATTTGCATTTAATTTAAGGTTTTAAATGTGCACTTTATGTAATCTATGCCACTAGCACAATCGGGATTTCTAAAACAATCAGTTTTTTAAGCGGCCAGCACTACGTATCTGCCACTGTTCATCAAACAGGTGGTCCAACCTCAAACTCCAGTGTTATTTTTGGCCCAGCTGGGTCGCTCAAACAAACAAAAAAATTGTTTGGTGCTGCTAGCGGTGCAGAAATGTCCCTCTTTTTAGAAAACAACATATGCCAGGGTACTCACTTTCTGTGAAAGGCATGTTTACACGGGCAGATTCCCAACTCATCTTTCTGCTTGAATTCCTCCAAACACACTGCACAAATCTAGGGAGAGAAAACAATACATTCCAGTGAACACACAGATAAAATGTTTAAATATAAACATTTTTGCCTTCAAAGATGAAAATTGTTCTATTGAATACACTCAGCAAGTTATTACAAGAAATGGACGATATCACCTTCAAAGATCAGTGAGACTGGAAGATATGTTGTAGTGCAGTATTCATGAGAACTTTATGATAGACATAAGATCGATATGCCTGAGAACATTTCTTTTAAAGCTTTTCTATCATATAGTCCATTTTTGCCACGAAATGGACTATACTCGAGAAGTTTCTTTTGCAATCTAGCAGTGAGGTGTAGCAGTTGGGGGTGCAGATATGACATTTCGTTTCGACATTTCGTTCAAAAATAAAAAAAAACGTGGAAAATCAGTGGAAGTGCAGCATTTTCTGACTGCTGCCTAACATGTCTAGACCTAGTGCTGTAGGAGGCAAGTCAAGACACTCTGATTAACGATCTGTCTCACATCAGAGAGTGGAATTCTGTGGACATTTGGACTTAATTAAATGCTGATGTAATCTGGAGGTAGGCAAAAGACTCCGGTACTGGCTATTCCACAGAAGGCTGAGGGCTAACAACAGCTAGTTCCTTTGATAAAGTAGCCAATAAAATTCAGAGAAATGTATAAGTAAATGAAATAAAGTCATCTGAGGAAAAGCCAAATAGCAAGACAGGATGTACCAGGGTAAAGATATTAAACCAGATGCAAACATTGCTAAAAAAAATGAATGTTATGTATTTCCAGAAAGAATAAAATGTTTTTTATTTTCCTTCCCCAAAATTTCACAACATTGTACTATGGTTACAATCAGGTAACAATGTAGAACATTTTAAATGTAAATTGTACATTTTAAACAATTACTAAAGCGTAATAATAATACAACCTATATATATATATATATATATATACACAGTATATATATATATATATAT